ATATAAGCTGCAGGATTTGTTTTGCTGTAAGGTATGTGCTGCTCTGGCAGGGAGGAGGGGGGCAGTTACGCTGAGCTATATTGGGTGACCCAGTGAGATGAGGGGCTGCTGAAATAATGGCAAATGGAGGAAAAGCCTCAACCACCTCGACCCACGTGAGCTCTGCTTAAAGGTTATGATATGGTGAATGGGAAATTCAGAATCAGACTGAAAAATGCAAAACACTTGGACGTGAAGAGTCCGGACTATAATTAGTCATAGTTTTCCTTTTTAAATATTGCTTGCTTGTCTTGTTTGGAACTGGCTAACTCATCTAGGGTGGCTTAACTGGAATTTGCTGGGCTCTATCAGTGCCTGTTATGAGCTGCATGTTGTTGTGGAACAAAGAATCGAGGAATTGTTTCTAGAAGCAGATGCAGACCCTGGGAGAGCAAAAGGAGACTTCTGGATGCTTGCAGTTGTGAACAGCTGGCTCCTGTTCAATCAAGCTAGGTTGCTTGGGATCAGCTCATTGGAAGCCTCTATTCCATTGGCTTTGAACAGTACTTAAAATGCATTAATCGCTTACTGAGTATGCTCAGAGCTTGAACAGCAGTGCAAGTTCAGAATTAAAAAGCATCTTTAAATAGATAAGGGCATGACTGGGCTTAGTCCAACTTTTCTCGTGGAGTAGTCTAATGAAAATGCTTGGCTTCAAGGAGAAGGGTGTTATGTACAAACAACTGTGCTGTGCTACAACAAGGCATGTTAGATTCCTCTAGAAATACAAGAAGTATGGTAAAATAATACTACGACTTTGTACAAAGTTGACAGTTTTCTGCATTAAACTTATGCTAAGATGCAAAGAGTTTCCCAAATCAAAAAGGGGCTTTAAAGCTGATGTTGTAATCACCCTGTCTGTGAGCTGGAAGCCAGAACAAGTGGATTTCTGGATCTGCCATTAATTAAAATAGCTTTGGAGCTTTCCTGCCTCTAAAAATGCCTCTCCAAAAACTCGCACCTGTGGACTGCCAGCTTCTGTCCTCCCTCAGAAATACCTGAACTGTTACCTAAGCAGAGCAGAAGGGGGGAAGTGCTCATTGTTGGGCCAGGTGCCCACCACCAGGAGTTCCAGACGAGAAAGCTGAAGCTGACTAAGGTTGCAAGTAATTGGAAATGTTGTTAACGGAAAACCTTTGACATGAACATCACTGTTACTCCACCTCTAATAACTTTAATACATTCTATGTCATAGTAAAGGCTGGCATGTGCTGAATAAACATCTCCATAACCTCATTCATTAACAGATGAATATTTCAATATCTAATACTGTGTTTTAAAGTCAAGTAAACAGTACATTTTGGTGCAAACAAACTGAGTTATGGAATTACTTACATAGCATGAACATCGCTTGGTGAGTGTGTATGTGTGGCAGATGAAGTTAACAGCATCACTGAACAGTGTACATGAGCCTGAAGACCATTTTGGCCAGGGTGTGAGCGAGTGCTATGTAAATACTGACTAAGTGGGGCATGAGATTTAGAAATTCAAAATTAGAGGAAAAGATCTCTTCATAGGGAAGCAAGCAACTCATCCTGTAGTATTATAAATCACTTGCTCTGCCTTAGAGAAACAAAACACCTGTTGTGGAGCTAGCAGAGAACTGCAGGGAAAAGAATAGAAGCAATTGGGAATATTTAAAGTGAGGTTTCTCTTTCAGTTCTCTTATGCTCTATTTCTGTTCCTCATGTTGCTCTTTAAGAACCAGCAGTAGCTGGGATGCCAGGCCACGTAGAGGCTGCCGGTTCAAAAATACATGGCTGTGTTCTAGAGCTCTTCTTGTTGGCAGCCCAGAGCTGGCTGATCATTGCTGACCTCAAGAACCCCAGTCCTCTGTCACTTTCTTTTGTAATTTTGTGTATGTAAGTACTGGGTAAACTGCTAAGTATCTGGAATAGGGCATATTCTGCTCTGATGTTACTTGCTGTTCCCTTTTAAATGAGTGAGCAACTTAGACTGGGCGAATCTGACTGTTTTGATCTGAAGCACAGAATGGCTTGGGTTGGAAAGGCCTTAAAGATTGTTGGTTTTCAACTCCTTTGCCATGGGCAGGGTTGCCAACCACCAGAGCAGGCTGCCTAGGGCGCCATCCAGTGGTAGGGCATTTCTGGTATTTTTTAACAGCAGCAAAAAAGCTCACATGGGTTGTTTATTTGTTAAGTTTTGTAATTAAAGCATTCAGTGACACTGTGTCATTCTGAATCAGTATTTCACGTTCGATAGCATAGGTATCGTGTTTGACAGGCCTGCTGGTGTGTGCTGCGAAGTGTCTGTATGTAAGCAAGAAGAGCTTAATTTCTGCAGGACCCAGCTGGCTGCAAGAGTTGTGCTAGTTGTCTTCTGTGGAATGCCCGTACTTAAAAGTTTGTGCCCGAGGTGTGAGTGTGGAGCCTCTTTGTTGGGCCAGGCAGTTGGTTTGTGCAGGAAGTCTTTCAGTGATGTAGCTCACTTTATTACATGTGTCCTGTGGCACTTCTTACCTACTGAACAGAAATTCCGTGCTATTTCAGTTACTTCTTAGGCCGTGTTACTTCCTAAAGTAAAAACTCTGGCTGAGGTGTTTGTGAGGTGTGTATCCCAAGCTTAAAGCTTTTCAGTCTTTACTACTTTGAAAAGTGAAGCCATAGACTTAAATGTTTAATTGTGGATATGGCTTTGCAGCTTCAGCTTTGAGAATGTGGCCTTGGACAGATGTGGGGCAATACCTGTGAGCATTATTTTGAGGGCTTGATGACCTTGTGGCAGGAATTCTGAGGGCACACCTTGCAGCTTTGCTTTTTTCACTAATGACAGCTTCTGCAGGAACGAAGCACAATGTTGTCTTCATCCCAGAACACATGGGGGATGTGAAATCTCATATTGCTTTCCACGTTTCTTTTATCCAGTATGCAGGTGCAGTGTAGGAGCATCATCGATGTGATAATGCAGGTGATTATTCTGAAAGCATCTCCCATCTGCCTGGCTGCAGGGTTTGCATCTAACAGGAGGGTGGTTGTGGATGGGACTTTCATAGGGCTGAGCAAGATCCTCATGTTCTGTCTGCAGGGTGGTGTGTGCTGGGAGCTGGAAATGCAATCACTGCCTGAAATGGGGAGCTGAGGGGGGAGAGACATGAGTGTGCTGTGTTGTGAAGAGTAGGGATGAGTATGACAGCCAAGATGATTCTAGTAGAGAGACTGGAAAAGAATGAAGAAAGATTTGAGAAAACTCTGAAGTAGAAGACCTAGCAGAAATTCCTGTAGAAAAGACAAGGTGGATTCGAGCAAGGGAGAGGAAGAAGAGGAGGAGGAAGTGGTTGCTAAGCACAGCTAATAGCAGCACTGAGGAGTTTTAATTTACAGTCTGCTGTAATTAACCACAGTTCCATTCCAATGCATTTCAGGAATGGATGTGGCACGTAGTTTTCCTTTCGGTTGTTGTGTTGCTGGTGCAGAGTCGGCTGAATTTCCAGCCAAGCAGAGTGGATTCCATTTATGCCCAAAGAACATCTTGCAGGCCCTGAGCAAACCTGTTAATAATATCCTTTGTCGTTGGAGGTGGCACTCCACTGATTGCAGGCTTCGTTGCAGTAGGCGAGGAATGCATTCTGATTCTGCACTGTCTGAAGCTGTTCACGGTAACTGTCCAAGCGCTTGCTCCTGTCACCTGGCAGCATGCGTTGTCCCAGACGCTCTGTAGTGCTGGGGCAGACCTTGACCTCATTGGTATGACCCACGGAGACTCCTTCTAAATCCCCAGGGGACTTTCTAAGTAGGGAAGGGGCTGATCTGTGTCTTGTGCGTTCCTTGTGTCTGGAAGCATGAGAGGCAGCTATGAAAAGGTTCCTAACATTCGTCTGAGCTCAGTTGTTCTTTACTTCTTTGTGGGATTCCAGCACCACGTGCTTGTGAGATGCTTTGGTTGGTGTTGATTCTTCAGAGCAGGTTGGTGGCTTTTACATGCTGGCTTACAGAACACCGAGGTTTTATAGAGGCATCTTTCAAAGCCCTTGTGCAATTAAAAAAAAACAAATAAACAGAACAATGGAAACCAGTGGCCGCAATTTCAGTTAAACAACAGTTTCCTACCCTGTTTAAAAAAAAACAAAAAACAAAAAACAAAAAACTCTGAACTTAAAAAGCGAGGGAATTTGGCGTGCAGTGAGGGTGCGTGTTAAAGCCAAGCCCTGAGCAGCAGGAGTTGTGAAAGCTTAAAGGCAGGTGGATGTGGCTCTCTGTGTCCTCTGGAAGCACTTGGCCTTCCAGTGTAGTGTGCACATTGCCTCTGTTTCTATGGTTCAGGTTTGCTTAGCTTACAGTGATGCGTGACTTTTAACCATTGAAAGAATCCTCCTTGACTACATTTCCATACTATTATGCTGTCATTGCTGAAGATCTCTTTGAATGTTATTTGATAAGAAGGACTTCCCTTGCTAGGTGTGTTCCAGAACTGCTTTTGGAACTTCCAGGACACTGAATGTAGAGGGCAACCTGTGAGCATTTATTTTCTTCCTGCAAAGTAATGGGTGAAATAGTAAGCAAACCTGGGCGGGCAGCCTGGTGACATGGCAGTTCTGCTGTTGTGCTGTTTGCCGCCCGCCTTAGTATTTCAGTGGCTTCCTGTATGTATTTTTTTGAATGTTAAGATAGATCGAAAGGTGGAAGATTGGTAAGCATTTCAGAGTTGATGAACAGAAAGAAAGTGTGGAGTCTTTAACAGTGGAAATTTTTATTTGAAGGCATTAAATAACAATGAATTTTTAGTAGCGGGTAGCAAGTGTTTTCCAGCTGATTTTTCTGAGCCTCTTGGGCAATCCATCATGGTTTGTTCTTCTGTCTCTGACTAGAACATGGATGAAAATGAGTATTTCTCAGAGGTCATTGCAGTTTAACTTGGTGTGCAGCTAAGTGTACAATGCCTAGATTTTTTTTTTTTTTTTTTAAAGCAAAATCCAACAGATTTTGTCTCTTTTTTGCTTGTAGGTTTATTCTTCAGTCCAAAGGAGTCATTCATAATCAGCTTTTAGAGAAGCAGAGAATAGCAGAAGAGAAAATTAAGGAATTAGAGGTAAGTTTTTGGCCTGTAAAGGTGATGAAAATGTTGAAGGTCAACAAGGTACTGTTTGTTATGTCCCTTATTTTTATGTGATACATTCTCAAGGATTGTAACTGCAGGGGAGCATGAGGGCTGTTGCAAGTAACCTAAAAGTAATTTGTGTGCCTTGGATTTTTGCTAGGTCTACAAGCTTCATGAATGTTAAGAAAGCAGGTAGGGACTAATTGTTCTCTCTGTGTCCTGATATGAAAACTGGATGTGAGGGGTTCAATTTAAATTAGTAGGAGCTAGCTTTAAAAATATTTAGAGGATGTTTAGAGATTACTTGCAGCAGATAAATGATGGGAAGCTCTTTGCTCTGAGTATTAAAAGTTTATGTTGGGACAGGATAATTGCACAAATTCAAGGAAGAGAAATCCATTGAGCATTTCCAAATATGTAAAAATTGCATTCTATTCAGGAAGCCTGTGAGCTAAAAATGTCTGGAGTCTGGGAAAGTATTAGGAGGAAGTACCACATACGCTTACCCTGTTCTTAAACTCTGCCCAAGACATTTACTTATGGCTGCTGTTGAAGGCTGGATCCTAGAGAGGATGGACTGTAATGATGTAATCAGAGTACTCCTGTGTTCTTATGGAGGGAGTGCTTATTGAGGCAGAGAAGAATGCCTGAGGCACATAAAGTAGTGTCCATGCAAGTTCCAGCTGTTTGAACAAGCTATCGTCTGAATCTTAAGTATCTTCTAGTGGCCCCATGAACACTTTACAGTTCTTTGGAGAAGGTGTTTAGACTTACTGGACTTCTTCCAAGGCCATTAGTATTTTTGTTCTTAATGCTCCTGAAATAGAATTAATACATAACCGTTTTCCTTAGCTTTTAGAAATGACAACAAGGAAAGGTTGAATTTCATCGAGCTGCTTGTCAAATCTCTTAATGTTTTGGAGAAGGTGAGTGTGCAGACCAGGGAAGTAGGGACAAGCAGCAATAGGAAGTAGGTGCTCAGACAGGACTGTGCAGTCTCTATTGTTTCCTACTTACACTACAGCAAAAGTCAAGTTGTGTTTTTTTAATTTGTTCTTGAAACACATTTTGCCATGGGAACTTGCAGGTTGTGTTACCTGCCATGTTTTCTGTATCAAGTAATAAGGGGCTTTGTGTATCTGGCCACCAGAACCTTTTCTACGCAGGGAAAGTAAGTACTTCATGGATAGGCTGTATATGCCACCCAGTATTCATGCAGACAGGGCACAGTCGTTTTTATGCTTACGTGGTTATATGTGATTGTATCCTGGCTATTCTGGGACCATCCCTGAAAACAGTGGCCTTGAGCAAAACCAGCGCTGTCACTGAAGTTACAGAACTTCATTGCAGTCTGCCTGCATTTGGAAGTGTGTTTGACAGTTTTGGCCACTGTAACCTTCAGCTGTGCATCTCAGTTTCTTCCTGTTCCTGATGGAGAATAATCTTACCTCCTGAACTTTTAGATCGCTGACTTCAGCGGAATGGATGGAATTCAGCCCCGCCCCGGCCCCCAGATTATAACCTTTGCCATTCTTGCCCCTCAGCCTTGGAGGTGGTTGCTTCACAGATGTGTTTTTACTGTTTTGTAGCTCCATGTTGCCTCAGGTCTCTGGTTATGGCCACTGAATTGCAGTTCCCAGCAATTGTCTCAAAAGGTTGTAAGAGTGGGGAGGTTATTGCCATGTAGATTGTTTTTCTATTTAACTATAGAAAGTAAGGTTCAGATTGCTGAAACATTTGACAGTTTCTTTTAAATGAACATTCAAGTCTACCTTTTAACTGGTTTCCAGATGTCTGGCAGTTTTGTGTGAATAATATTCCTTGGACTTGGGATTCCCTAAGGAAGAGATTGACAGTCGCTGAAAAGTAAGATTTCAAGGGAAATACCTGAGTCCACTTATCACAGGAGTAGAGGATTTTGCTCTTCCGAGAACAAGTTGTGACAGGAGAAAAGAATGTGAAACTTTGTGACCTTGTGCTCCCACTACATGGTTGTAAAATAAATGTAAGACCAAGATAACCAGGTTAAAATATCCCTTCATCAGTTGTTCAAACTGGAAAAAAAAAATTAAAGCTATTTTTCACATTAACTACCTTATTTTTCGTTATACGTAATACCTTACTACACTTTGCACAGTTGAATTAAGCTGGCCGGAGTAACCCTCTGGTATCCATGCAGTGTGACTCACCTGGTTGCTGTCACAGCATGAGCTGGAGGCAATTGCATGGTGCAGTTACAGAGCTGTTGCCAAGGTACTGTGAAAAGTGCATTTTTGATATGAACCTGAATTTCAGAAACGGTGTCACAGGTAGCTCAGTCCAATTCTAGAAGAGTGCAGCATAAAGTTTGGGTTCACAGCTGAACTCTTCTCAGCAGTATAGCAAGAAATCCTGGCAGTTTGTGAAAATGTGGGCTTTTGTCTGCTTTGGAGGTGTGAGCTGGGTTTCCTGATACTCACAGTTGTTAAAATGAACTTTGAAAGCAGGAAGGGGTTTTGCCTCTTCTTTCAGAGGTTTGTTTCTCTCTCCTCTTTCCTTTACTCCCCTCTGTTGTGTTTGCCTGTTGTTGAAGACCTGCCTTGTTTCTTTTATGTCAGCACCAGGAGTGGGCTGTGACACTGCTAGCCTGGTTGTCCCTGCTGCTCACCTCACAGCAGGGCAGTGAGGACGGCCAGGGCCGGCTCTGTACAGAGCTGTGAAAGCAAAGCTTTGCTGGAATATGCACTGCATGTCCTCTGTGAGTGGAGCTATGTGAGCATGGCTCTGAAAACCCAAAAGGGTGTAGATATGTACAGACAAACAAAGGGGCAGACATAGTCTGTCAGTCAGCACACAAAATAGTTTTATCCTTCTTTTAAGGGAGGAATGTATATATGCACGTGTTTAGCAAACTTAACTTCACACTCTGTGTATAATCCTTTGGAATCCAAAGGGACTGTCTAGGCTTGTTTACAAAATGCACGTTTGCTTACAGGCTGGGCGAGTGAAGCTTACCAAAGCCTTCTTGGCACTTACAGAGGCTGAGTGTATGAGTCCATGCCATCACATGGGAAGCTTCCTGCCTAAGCGTAGCTATTGGATTTTTCCAGTCCTGATAATATCAAATTCTTCTTGTGTTTCACAGTGCAAAGGGTATGTGTAAATCTATTTTGAAAGCATTCTAAAGGGATGAGCACTGACTCTTTTTAGCTCAGCAATGTTTGTGCAGTATTAAGAGAAAAACCAAGTAATGTTTTTCTTCCCTTGTTTTTAAGGAAACATGATATGTGAGGGGTGGAACAATGCTTTGTTTCAGGAAATGTTATCCGTTTCCATTGTAGAGCTAGATGGGTTCTGTTTTTAAATGTGGCATTTTAAAAAGAACAAACTCTGATATTACAAAGACATGGAAAATTGATTCTTCGTTAGGGGTGGAGAAAGTGATTACTGCCGTGTGTTTTCTCTGATAATATCTGATAATCCCTCTCTCTCCTGCTATATTCAGCATGTTTAGTTGTCAGGCGTTGTCAGACTAAATTTCTAAAAATAACAAATAAGGGGGAGGCTGTGCTGGGCCACGCTGTTGACTGTGCCACTGAATTTAGCTCCTTCTTGCAAAGGGCAACCTGCAGCTTTCTTGGGGAATTGGATTTGGTTTTAAGCTCTGCCTGGGGCACCGCTGCACGCCCATATCCCATGCAATTCTTTATGCACTTCTATGGAGTCTGAATGTTTAATGCTGTAGGGTAGGTTGGTTTCTTCTCTTTCTGTCTGAAGTTGAAAATAATATGAGGGAATGCATACACAAGTGCTAGGGACCTCAAAAAGAATTTCTAAGTGTCCAGTTGTCCCATCCCATGCAGAAAGCCTCTTAACCTTTGTTCATGATTGGAAAAAAACTGCCTCTTGTTTAAAGACTGGTCAGGTTTGGCAGGACTGCATCGTGCTGAAGCTAAGATGCCACTGAACTGTGGTACTTTGAGGTGCTTGGATGTCAGATGTAGCAGTGGGTCTTCCCTGGTTTGCCTGCACACACACCCTGCTTGCACTCCGGCTGTCCGTTCTGTGATGCTTTCTGGGGCTTTGAAGTGGCCTCACTGCACTGGTGTGATGGCTGCACCCCTGTTCTTGCTGATCAAGCAGGGTGTCTGCTGGCTGCCACAGCATGGTTTTCCTTCCCTGGGGCAGCTATGGCTGAAGTGGGTGAGGTGTGTCTGGGGAGCAGTGCCAGAGTCTCAGAGCTGGTGCTTTGTACTCTCAGTGTAGGCATGGCCTGCTCTGTAGCAGTTCTCTGGACAGTCCTTTGGTTTTTGTGCTGAAACTGTTCATGTGGAGGCCAATTCAGAGGGTAGCTTTAATGATGTGCAGACAAATTTCTTGAGATGTGTGGGATGTCCTGCAGACCGTTGGCGACCACCAGAAGGTAACAGTTTTTTGGCCGATTTCTTCCTGAGATTTGCAGCACAGGAGCTCTCATCCTATAGTTGGAGTGGATAGGCCAGCGCCCAGGAATGTGTGGTGTGCTTCTTAAATAAACAGGGGAAAATAAAGAGTGCTTGTATTTGGCTTGTAGGGGGAAAGCTTCAAGAATAGCCCTCTATGATTTAGCCTAGAGCAGATTTTGCTTTGGAAGAGTGTGTTTTTCTCTATTGAATTGCTGGCATATATCCATGTGCTCAGGATGTGATTTAAATGTGTTGTCACGGCAGCCCCTAGCTTCTAAGGACAGCCCTAAGTACGCATATAGAAGATGTCAGACCCTGGCTTGGTCTCAGTCTTTTTGGCATTATGGCCTCATCTCCTCCAAGGAAAGCTGCCATGCTTCTGTCCTTGTTGCTCATCCAGCAGCCTGAATTATGCTTGGGAGCTTCATAGCTCTCCCTGGCCATGAAAAGGCCTTGGGTCCAGGATGAAAGCTTCCAGAGGTAGCTTGTTATCAGCATGGGGGCATCCACAGCTGCTCCCATAGGAAAGCAGAGCACAGGCAGAGCTGTTGGCATGCGTCTGTTTTC